TGAACAAACTTTCTTTGTTCCATTGTATCTTCTTTGCTCCTTTGTCAAAAATTAGCTGTCCATAAACCTGTGGGTTTATATCTGGGTGCATTTAACTTTTTTCAAAACAATTTTGAGGTTCTTTGTCAATTAAAATTAAATCACACAAATCTTATGTATATTGCCTAATGAATTTTTACATATGTGTGTATCCATAAATCACCACATAGGTCAAGATACAGGATGTTTCTAGTTTGGCAGTTTTCCTGATCTTGTCACTTTCCAGTTCCAACCACTATTTTGACTTGTATAACCATCTGTCAGTCTTATGATTAAATCCACTAAAATTTTGTACATGTCTTTTTGGTGGATATGTATACTCATTTCTGTTGGGTTCACGTGGTCAACTGCTGAAAAATTTGTGTTTAACTGCAGAAGGTAATGCCAACTTAAGTCTCCGTAATAGTAATTCATAATGGAAAGTGATATTAAGTATTTGAAGAAAATGGTTAAATTGAAATATCCTAAAACATATCTTCTTATCTTTGTTTTTTTCTAAGTTGTGATATTTTGTGAAAGGAATCAACTATACAAAAAAAAAAAAAAGCTCATTGTCATTTTGTAGTTGCTTTATGTAGTTTTGTCTTAGTCAATTTTTTTTGTCCTCTGTAAATAACTTCCCTATTTCCTCTTTCTTCTTAGGATTTCCTTTGTGGATTGGTAGGCAGTTCCAAGACTGCAAAATGGGTCTTCGGATTCACTTTGTTGTTGACCCACATGGTTGGTGCTGCATGGGTTTGATTGTCTTTGTCTGGTTATTCAATATTATTATGATTCCCAAAATTGTTCTCTTTCCTCACTATGAAGAAGGACATATTCCTGGCATATTAATAATAAGTAAGTTTCTAGATCTTTATTTCTTTACGTAATTAAAGCTTTTTCTCATTGTGAATATTTTAGAGTGCCACTGTGATGATGACCTTTTTAAAAATATTATTAGTGCTATTAATAATCATTATTTACTAAGTTATTTTTAAAAGAATGACCTTTATATGTGATTCTTCAAATATATAAAACCAATTTGTTTTTAAAGACTGGCATAAAAACACTAATTTACGTGTGTCTGTATTTTTAATGTTTCTCATTCGTATTGTGGAAGGAGTTTTAATAATAAAAATGGTAAACATTATTGAGAAATAAGAGTTTTATGATACAAAAATTATTGTGTATGGTGTTGATTGTGATAATTCTTTAAACTATAGACATTTATTTTCTACTCTGATTCATTAGTAATGCTTAATTATGGTTAAAAGAAAAGGTTGAAATTACGTATTTTCCATGTATATCACATTTATAGTTTTCATGCTCATTATATCATTTTGGCCTGAGAAGAGCTGTTGAAATGTCGTCTGTCTTGAACAAATGACAAAGCTGAGGAATACCATGCAGTCAGCCTGGAGTTAGCACTAACATCTAGTTCCCTGTTGTGTGTGTACCACTTTCTCCCCCCCATTCTTCCCCTTTTCCATGCCTATAAACTCATTCTTTAAGGTTTAAAAATTCTTAAAAGCTTTAACATTCTTTTAATTGAATATTTTCCCTTACTGTTATTTTTCTAGTGATTCCCTTTAAAACTCTAGTTTCTACATTCTTTATTTTCAGATTAAATCTTGGGATCTATCAGGTGTATTTAAACTCACTAACTTCAAGTAATTTTGAAGATAATCAGTTGGAATTAATGAGGAAGTTTAATTATAAAATGGTTTTTAAAATGCTCCTTTTACTTCTTGCAAATAAAGTACTTTGCAAGTAAATTAAAATTACTATATGTAATTTTCCCGGTTCTTAATAATTCAGTGAAAAATTTGAAACCTTTTATTCAGTGTCAGCTTGAGGGAAATTTTGATCACCTTACTGCATAACAAATATTCAATTCATTTATACCATTTTTCATTTTATACCATTTTTTCCCACAGGGTATTGCTGTGGATAAAGAATCTGATTTATGACAAGTTTGTCAGTTATTATCACGCAAAATATTTAGAAGGATTATATTAAGTTGTAGTTGGTGGTTGGTGGTGGTAGTAGTAGTAGTGATAAATGAAATGAATCATTAAGTTTTTCATCTTTTGAAAGTTATTTGTCCTTGATGCTATTATTAAAATATACATTTTAAACTTTAAATATGCTTGTTGATAAAAGGTTTTGAAAGGTTCATAATTATTTCTTTCTTTTAAAGTATTCTATGGCATTTCCATATTTTGCCTGGTTGCCTTAGTGAGGGCCTCAATAACTGATCCTGGAAGACTCCCTGAGAACCCAAAGATTCCACATGGAGGTATGGTATATTTCAGATGTATCAGTTTTACTATGCTAGAATTGTTATCTTTATGAATGCATTTTATTGCTTTTATTATAGATTAGTTATATGTGTCACTGAATAGCTCATTTCAAGTTTTTTCTCATATTTTCCTTTCCATACTAGTCTATTTAAAACTGTGAAACTTAACCGACTTCTGGTAGCCCTCACTCCTTTTCAATTTACTTGTTTGTGCTTCTCTTCTTCACACTCTAAGATCTATATAAATTCTGTATAATTAGAGATTTTATGCTATATTTTATTTATTCAGTTATTATATTCCTAGATATAGATAGAGACTAAGTATCTCTGTCACTAGGTAGAAACTAGGTTAATTTTTTCTTGAATGAATGATAATTATCTGAGAAATTGTATTTCTTAGATTTTATAAAGGAATTTTCTTCATGGTGCCGCTTCCCTGATAAATTAATATTGCTTAGTGTAAACATTTATAGTGTTATGAATACAGTGCATATATTTCTCCAGATTCTAATAATTCAGTGAAAAATTTGAAAACCTTTTATTCTGTGTCAATTTGAGGGGCATTTTTGAACACCTTATTGCATAACAACCACTGAAAGCACAAGAATAAATGGAAAATGAATTACTTTGTTACTTGCCAGGTACTATTATCCTTTTTTCATGTTTTGCGTTTTGGTCATTTGCTGTGTAAACTTTGAGAACTTTGGTGCTTTCTTCTAATAAGCAGTTTAGATTTTTGTTGTAATACATAATAGAACCAGAATTGTTTTTTAAAGATTTATTTATTTATATTTGCAGAACTGGTACAAGCCAGACGTGTGGTAGATGAGAGAATTCACCAGAGACAGAATGGGGAGCAGAACAGGCAGATTGACAAGTACACTGCTAAGGGTAGCAGCAGGCTGATCAGAAGAGGTCTGCCACGCCATGTGGATCAGCTCCCTGGTCTGGGATCAAACTTGTGCTGTAGTGACTTTGAAGAGCTTCATAATGTGGTACTTTAACTCGTTGCACCACCAATGAGAGACAGAACCAGAATATTTTTAATTAGTAATTCAGTGGTTTCCAAAACTTCAGCATATTACAGTTAACTATTAAATCAGTTTCCATTATGTAGCAAAATCTGAGAGCCAATGTAGTAATTCCTTCTGAAATTAGATTCAGTGGCATGACACCAGAGTTGTTTTTTAGCTCCATTATTTTAGGGCTTCCTTGATGGCCTTGCGAATTTCGAGATTATAAAGTAGCATGGCACTGATGTTTCCTCACTTGTTAAAGTCTCTAAAACCTATGTTGAATATTTAATTTTTATTAATTTATAGATGCAATATCATTGTCACTCAGCAGTTATTAAGTATGCATGTGCATTTATACATGGGCATGTAAGGTGACATTTTGCAATTTGTATAGACTATTCTCTACTGGCCTAATCTAGAATACTGGCATGTAATGTTGTCTACTTCAGTTTTAAAACCCACTGGCCACAGCAAATCAAATAAGCAACCCTTTCATAATTTAGAACTCTTTCTGAGTTTTCAGTAGTGAGACACTCATATGTCGCACACTACAAGTCACTGTGAGGGGTCAGGTAGAACTGTTTCATATTTAAAACCATGTAAGTCTCATATTATTTGTAGTGGGTGGCAAGGCCTCATTGCCGGTAGTAATAGATCATATAATTTATTTCTGAGAGAAAATAGAGGATTGTCTTTTTTTTTAAATGAGAGCTTTAATAATTCCTTTTTTTAGAAAAGGAAACTTAAACCCACTAAAATATGGCAATTGAAAAAAACATTATTTTTAAATAAATGCAAAATAAATTGTATCTATGAGTCTAATAGAATCCCCATGAAACTACTGTGTTACCGTTTGTTTATAGGCTTCAGTGATGGAGGGGAGGACACATGGCATCAGCTGAATTTGGTTTCAGTTGATGATTGTTTCTTTTTTCTTCTCTGAGTCTAGAAGACTGACCTTTTGCCCAATTCAATAAAGAAAGGAATTGTTAATCATATTTTAATGTAATCCTCAAGGTAATTGTGCTTTCAAGATAGTGATGGTCCCTCATAGGTGTTCAACCTATTGTTAGAGAACTACTGAGGCCAATAGCTTATCTCTACTCTTTCTTAAAACCATGGATCTATATAATTTAAGTTTTCACCTTAACTTTGATTCTGGGGAAAATTGAAGTTAATCATGTGTTTTTGTGCTGCTTACATAATTATTTGGTAAATATGGTTTAACTTAGTAAAAAATGTAGAACCCAACTTTTTTTAAAATAATATACTAGTTTATTTTTACATCATTTTGTGCCTTTTTCCATCTCAGTTGTAATCCCTGTGGGCTTCCCATCACCAAATCATACATGTGCCATCACCATAGTCCAGTGCACTTCCCTCCCCTCACCGTTTTTGATCCCAGCCCACCCCCATAAATTTATTCAGTTATTATATTCCTAGATATAGATA